TTTTAAAAAACAGCTTTATCGAGATGTAATTCAGATACCATACAACTCATCTGTTTAGAATATACAATTTAATGGTTTTGAGTATATTCACAGAATTGTGCAGCCATCACTGCAGTTTTAGAACTATAGATTAATGCAACAATGTGAATGGATTTCAAAGTATTGTGCTAATCCTTTGGACTCATGGAGCAGGAATCTTTAAGACATCAGGGTTTAAATCCCAGCTGAGTGCCAGGGAAGCGTGGGAGTGGTTGGAGTGGGACAGACCACCTGGTTCACGCCTGAAGCATTGCAAGGATGGCCTGAACACAGTGGCTTGGGACACCTGGTCCATAGAAGAGAGACTGGGGATGGCCATTTTTCTCCCCCTCACCAACAAGGTGGGGCTTCAGGGAACAGTAGGCAGGCCCACAGTGAAGGTGGGACCCACCTACAACAAACCACGCCCCTCAGCACTTGGTACCTGCGTATCTACAGAAGCAGGATTGATGATGATTGAACCAGACAGCCCCTCCTCCAGACCAGTGTGACCACCAGTTCCAAGGCACCTAGTCAGTCACACCCTGACTACCATTACTGTCACTATCCTGGTTCAAACCACCGGAATCTCTGCTTTCATTATTATAATAACCTGCAAGCTGCTCTTCCTACTTCATCCCTACAGACTCTTCTCCCCATAACAGCCAGAGTGAGCCTCTTGAAAAATAAGTGAGATCATGTCATACCTCTGCTCAAACTTTTTCTCCCTTCCATTTAGCATAAAAGCCAGCATTTTTACAACGGCCTGCAAAGGTTTATATGATCTTTCCACAACCACCCCCCCCCTTACCTCTGTGACCTTATTATCTCCTACCACTCTGTGGTTACCTATTCAGATGTTCCATATTGACCTTTTGTATTTCCTCTGCCTGACTGCTCTTCCACCATAGTCTTCGTAGCTGACTGCCATACCTTCTCCAAATCTTTGCCCACATATTACCTTTTCAGTGAGTCCTCCCTAATCATTGAATTTAAATTGTAAACTCTTCATGTACTCCCAGTCTCCCTTGTAATACTTTTAAAAAACAGTAGTACTTAATATATTCTAACATACTCATATAATTTGCTTGTTTTGTTATTTGACTCCCTTCTGCCACAAGAATATAAACTTGACAAGAGCAAGGTGTTTATTTATTGCTCATTGATCTACCCCCTGTATTTCAGTGCCTGGAACATTGTGAGGACTTCTGGGGAGGTGCAGAGATAGCAGACTGAAACACACACCTAGTGTTTCTGAGAAAGACCTGTTTGTCCAGGAGCTTTGGACTGAGGGGCAGGCTTTCGGTTTGGCACACATGGGCGGGGTGTGCTCCATAACCACTCTTAGAGAACAGTGGCCAATAGATGCATTCTTTGTTCTCTCCCTTGTTCCAGCTTTCCAGTATCTTCTATAAAGGAGCTTACATTACTCTCTGGTGCCCTGATTTTTGCTACCAGGGGATGCCTCTACATCACCTAGGTTTGGTGGTGGCATTCCCTAGGTCCCATGAGACTATACCTTACAGAGATAGAGTTCTTTTTTTAAAAAAAAATTTTTTTAACGTTTTTATTTATTTTTGAGACAGAGACAGAGCATGAACGGGGAGGGGCAGAGAGAGAGGGAGACACAGAATCGGAAGCGGGCTCCAGGCTCTGAGCCATCAGCCCAGAGCCCGACGCGGGGCTTGAACTCACGGACCGTGAGATCGTGACCTGAGCTGAAGTCAGACGCTTAACCGACTGAGCCACCCAGGCGTCCCCAGAGATAGAGTTCTTAAATAGCTACTGCCCCACGGGCTACCATAGCAAGAGGCAAGTCTTTCTGTGAGAGAGGCTTATTAGCTTACATATATGGTAAATTAAATTATGATAAAGGCACCAAGAATATACAATGGGGAAAGGACAATATCTTTAATAGATGGTGTTGGGAAAACTGGATAGCCACATGCAAAAGAATGAAACTGGACCACTTTCTTAGACCATACACAAAAATGCACTGAAAATGGTTTAAAGACTTAAATGTAAGAAAATAAACCATAAAAACTCTGGAAGAAAACCTAGGGAATAAGCTCCTTGATATCGATCTTGGCAGTAAATTTTGGATTTGAGACCAAAAGCAAAGGCAACGAAAGCAAAAGTCCACAATTGGGACTACCTCAAACTAAAAAGTTTCTGCACAGCAAAAGAAACTATTAACAAAAATGAAAAGGCAATGTACCAAATGGGAGAGAATATTTGCAAATCATGTATGTGATAAGGGGTTAATATCCAAAATATATTTAAAAAACTCCTACAACTCAACAGTAAAAAAATAAAGTTTTAAAAATGAGCAGAGGTTCTGAACAGACATTTTTCCAAAGGAGACATACAGAAGGCCAACAGGTAAATGAAAAGACCATCAAAGTCACTAATCATCAGGGAAATTCAAGTAAAAACCACAGTGAGCTATTGCCTCACATTTGTTAGAATGGCTACAGTCAGAAAGAAGAAAGGGGTCAGGCTACAGGGGGGAAAAAAAGAAACATGAAATGTTGGAAAGGATGTGAAAAAAAGAGATCTCTGTGTACTGTTGGTGGTAAATATATATTGGAGCAGCCACTACGAAAAACAATATGGAGTTCTTCAAAAAACTGAAAATAGAACTACCGTATGATCTAGCAATTTCATTTCTGGATATTTATATGAAGAAAACAAAACACTAACTTGGAAAGATACATAGGCACCCCCATGTCATTATAGCATTGTTTACAGTAGCCAGGATA